ACTCACAAGCCCCGCAAAGCGCCCAATAAATAGGAATGACCGTGACTCCACGTCAGAAAAGCCCACGAACGTCCTATAACAGGATGTTGGTTCCTCGTGATCTTGGCGTGCAACTCCATGCCTCCTAATCATGCCAACCAATACTCACTTGACAAAGGACCTGAAGACAAAAGTCAAGCTTTTGAAGCCTTGGCACAAGCATGACCCAAATGAACCCCTCCTCCCTGAAACCAAAAGCTATAGTTGGGTGAAAGTGAATGGCACATTCTCCCTAGATGGGTTCAGGCATCCCCTTTCCTTCCATACTTTGTCCTGGTGTAACCGCTTGGACATCATGTCAAAAGCTCAAATTTCGCGTGCAAAGTCTGGGCCGTCGCGCTTGGCAGCAGCGGCTTTGGCATTTGGCTTCTTGCGCTTGGCACCCCTGAAGCTGCGAATGCTCAAGCGGTGGCATGCGGGATGTGTCAGCTACACAGACTTAAATACACCGTGTCAAATATGGTTGGGCTACAGAAAACTGGCAAGTGGATGATACTGCGAGAGTATAATATCAATTGTGGGAATCACCATGCTAAATATGATGGGGCTACGAGCGGGTGGGCCGTGAGCTTTATCTTGAGCGACTAAGTACACAAGTTTGGCCCATTTTACTAGGCATCCCCTGCATGAGACGGTATATTCTGCTCGTACAAACATTTGCAACTAAAGTTCAGCCAGACATTTTGGCAAGTCAATCAAGATACCCAACCCGTGTACAGCTTTTTTTGTAGGAAATCAAGATGTCAGCTTACTCAACAACAGACAACCCTCAAAACTGGTACTAAGCTGGAATAACCCGAGGGGAGGTAGAGGTCACACAGAGCAAGGCGTCACCTCAGGGATGGCCATGACGCTCCTAGAAGCAAACGGAAACAAACCTAAAGTCCCGGCCCCTAATGAAACGGAGAAGTTCTCATTCATGTTGCTTCCGTCTGTTGCTGGGAGGGTAAGCCTCCCCTTTAAAACTGGTTCCAACATATTCACTGGTCCAAATCAAAGATCTGAGTACAAATTTGTCTTTCAATTCTTGGCCATGGACAATCAACACCTTGACAAATCTTCGAGCGGTCCAACACCCACGAGGAGACATCCTACAAAGCACAACCATTACAGACTGTTCCAGCACTATTTCCAGACAGTGTCGACACACAAAACAAAACCAAGCGAGAAACACCACCCCGTACCATGCCCCAACCAAGGACCTCAAACTAGCTAAAGAAACATGGGAAGATCGCTGGCGAAGGAAATCAAGAAATGCCAGCCCCCCCAGCATTCCCCAGCACCCACCTTTTGGCGGCCGCACTGCCTGCAAAAAGCTGAGGTGCTGTTTGCTCGTTGCAGGCGCAGACAATACTCCCATACAGATTGACATGGAACCCAAAAACACACCATTCGTAGAGCCATCTCCTTTTTGGGGAACCCCTTTTGGGCTCCTTCGATCAACTTGTGCATGTTTCTGCTCCATCTTTTTGCCGGCACAGGCCTGGGAATAAATAAGAAACACACCCAAATCTCCAAGCCATGCCCGCTTCCCTTCAAGCATGCGAGTCCTGGCTAGCGGTGGCTTTGCCCGCACAAACAAAACAAGCGACATCTGACTAAAACTGTGACGCGCCACGTGCATCCCAGGGCTGTCATGTACTGCCAGCGGGTGGAGGAGTGAACCATGTACTCCCGTGCAATTGACCTTGTGGCCCAACAAGGGGCCCCCCTTCTTGACATTTCCACTGACAGCTGCGGCCTTTGGAGGTTAAAGGCAAGCATGTTTTATTTTTGGTCCTGTCAACATGGTCATAAACCAAATAAAGCCAGGTAGAGCCACGCACTCAAATGGCCACCAGGGATTTGGGCACTGTTCAGACATGGAATTGCGGGTTCCAAGCTTTGGAGTGGGCAGTGTCCCTTGTAAAACAAGTGGTCCCCTTAACCCCCGCTCCGAGGCTCCCCCCAACAGAAAAGCACTGGGGAAGCCTGTGACCGCTTCCAGCTGAATTAGGTGCTGAATAGGGAGTTTAGAAACACATGACAGCTTTCTCCTGGTTTTATTCAGGGAACATCGCACATCGTGGGCTACCCTCCCAAACATGCAAACCGCGCGGGCCGACTCTTTGGAACATCCATGACGTACACGATCCACGCCCTCTCCTGGTTTCCTCCAAGCAAAGGCCCTCGGGGGGGGGGGGGGAAAACTAGGGAGGGTGGTTTGGATCCTGGTATACGAGAGCCTACCACCAGCACTTCAACAGGCATCCCGTGCCTTGGCCTCCTTCGCCAGTCAGATGCCTAGCATGCACACCCCAGCTGCCAAAACCCTCACCCTGGAGAAAAGGATCCTTGTCTTTGTAAAATTGGGGGAGCATGGGTGTTTTCTGCCAAGAACGGGGACGCTGAAAGTTTGGATCATGATGCCCGATGCCCGAGGAGCAGACCGCTCAGTCATCCGGATGGTGGGCATTTCCACGTCCTCCCGAGAACAAAGCAGCTTTGCAAACCAACCGCAAAAATATGCAGGATGATGCCTGCAACACAAAGGCAGAAACAAGGTCATGATTGATGTCACCACATTTCGATTTGCATCTGAACTCGACTGGGGCAGCATGTCTCGCGGGTTGACGCGAACAAGACTGCGCTTGCCACCAACAACAGCCAACATGCCCATCTCATGCAAATGCATCGCTTCTGCAGATGACACATACTGGCGAAGCTGACCGGCCACCGAACATGAATCGTTGGATATGCAGGGGATCTTGGACACAAATGCATATTGGGCATGCAAATGCATGTGCGAGCTTCCTTGGAATGGATACAGTATAGGCATTTAATCATCTTGGGCCTGTCTTCCCAAGTCATGGAAACAGGCGAGTGGGGGCAGGGAGGGGGGGGGGGCGTGAGCATACGGACGAGTGCGACACATGTGCGTGGTTCCCTTTGGGCATGTCAATGCACAGGGCGTCCTTGTTGTCCTGAAGGCAAAGCGGTGAGTAGAACATGACGTCATCATCTTGGACATGCACATGCACAGGTCTATGAAAGCGCGGACATGTAATATAGCCGTTTTGGGCGTGACGTGTTCCCAAGTTGTAGGTACTCTAGCAAGGAGCCGCTGGGGGTGTAATGTGAAAGCGAGTCGGGGGCAAAAATAACTTTGGGCATAGATAGATGAGAATAGATCAGATTAGATTAGATAAGTAGCTAGATAGATAGATAGATAGATAGATTAGATTAGATTAGATTAGATTAGATTAGATTAGATTAGATTAGATTAGATAGATAGATAGATAGATAGATAGACAGACTGGACAAATAAAAAGGGAGCTTAGAATGACAGCTAGATAGATCGATAGAAAGAGAGATACATCGACAACGAGTGCTTGGCTTCAACCATGTGCACGTGCAACAATTGCACAAACGAAAATAGGCGGCAGGGGCAGAAACTCGCCTGCTCGAGACCTGACGAGTGTAGAAGATTGACGGGAGATCAGGTCTCCAGGTAGGCTTGGATCTGGGAGTGTCCGAGTGGCAAATTGGTCTTGTGATGCCTTTTAAGACGGTTGAGTTGCCAAACTTGATGTTCTTGTGACAAAGTCGGGTCGTGGGAGCAGGTGAATCTGGCACAAAGAGAAGCGCAGTGGGCGGTCCAGGCCCTTTTCAGAGCACCAATCTTCATACTCGTCGTAGACGCTCAGCAGCAACTCCTCTGCACACCTGGCTGGGAGTGAAATGGACCATGAGGTGACTGAAGGACGAACATGTCTTACTCATTTTTTTGCAAAAAGCTGTCCGAACTTAAGGGGGTTCAGTGGTGTCTTCAAAGACCGATGGACGATGGGTGAGAAGAAGGGGGAGATCAACCTTTCGAACTCCACGCGCGCACAAGCACAGGGCAGCAAACAGGAGTCGCCAGGTGTCTCTACTCAAACCTTCAGGTGGCTGCGTGCTCTTCTGGCTCCAGCGCCAAACCGCCCGAAGCAAACCGCCCCAACCAGGCTGGAGCTCGCTTTCGTGCAACGTCGTAGCCGCGTTGAGTGGGGCACGAGATGCAAAGCTGAAGGGGCTCCTCAGTGGCCATGGCTAGAGAACGCCCCAACTCGGAATCCCTGAGGAACTAAACTCGGTAGGCGTACGATTCACTTGCTAAATAGACCCAAAAAGAAGGGCTCAAGTGTTCCTCTAAACGCCGAAATACCACAAGGCACGGCAACAGAAGGCAGGACCTGTGCCAGCACTAGATGTGACAGAGGTGTTGATGGAAAACTTGATCAGCCAATAGCTTTAGTGGTCTGGCAAAACTGGTGCCCGGATTCCTTGCATTGCGCTCCAACCACATTTCCTACGATCTTTGCGAACGTGTTTCCTCCGAATTTGCTGGAACTGTTAGCCGTCGGTGTCTTTTTGGAGGGGTGCATGGTTATTGGTTGGCTTACCCACCGGACATGTCCAGGAGGGATGAACAAATAAGCTTCATCTGTAAGCTAGAGGTTGGTGCTTGCTCTGGCTTCCTTCCACCCAGGAAATTCATCATGAGCCATGCTCTGCAGAATGGTGGCTTAGCCTAAATGTGGCGTCTGCTTTGCAAAGAGCAGAAAAAAGCCAAACCATCACTCAATGCGGCAATGCGGGATCAGTGAAAATCCTGTGGCCGATGCCATCTGCAGGTGGGGTCATTGAACCAATGCCAAAAGTCAACAACTCTTTGGCCGTAATTGGACTCAGGCACATTGGCTGAACCATGTTTAACCACGCTCAGCCATATTTAGCCCATGTTGAGCTCCATGTGACCAGGTCTCATGTTTACACGTTGTAAGACTCAGTTGCCCAAATGACCCAGAAATAATAAGCGAAATACAAGTACATCTTTTGGGTCCATGCCTAAAAATTGAGGTCAAAAGGTCGATTCGCTTTGGGCAAGTGAGAAAATGACCATTTCACCCTATCAAACCTACACGCACAAGCGGCCACGCTCAGCTCAGGGCCGGGGATTCCTCCCCAGTGTCGCGCTCTGCCTTGGGCCGGAGGGCTGCAATTGCAAACGAGTCAGGGCCCTTCCGCCCCTTCCCGGCTCGGTGGCCCTACCCTTCCCAGTTCGGACAGTTGGGGTCCATGTTGCGACCTCCTGTAAGGGGGTCGCGGTTTCTTAAGAGCCCCATTCAACCAGGCCTCTGACGCCGACTGGGAAACGATAGTGGAGCCCATCTAGCTTCAACCAAATTGACCTACACAATCAACATGGCCAGAATTCAGGGATCCACTGGAAATCCAAAAGCAGAAATGCTCCGGTTCGACCCGATCGGCAATCAAAGGAAACCCATTTTACAGATATACCAACACCTAATCAAAGGAAGTTAGAAGGAGATCCTGTGCTGCGGGCACAAATTGAAAGGCAGCAGCTCGTAAAGAGAAAGTTAAGAAAGAATGAACGCATGCGAGAAAACATGCCCGGGCGTGCGGCGCGGCTTGTCCGGCTGGCTGAAAGCTACCCCGGTCGACATCAGTTTCGAGACACTCGCAGCACTTCAGCAATCTGAGATACAAATTTGCATGGCAGGCGCATCACTTTCGCAGGGCCAGGTTCAGATTTCGCGCAATCTTGCAGAATTCGCAACCGGCGAAGCACTCAGGTGAAAATTTCGTGGCCCAGCATTTTCGCAGGGTCAGCAACAGACCTCGTAGCAGGCACTTTCGGAAGGGCAGGGCAGGTTTCGCAACAGGCACAAACAAGCGACAGCGAAAGGGAAGGAAGAAAAAAAGCAAGAAGGAAGAACGAGGAAAGAAGAAACAACAACAATAAAGAAGCAGCAAGAAAGTAGAACAAACAAAGATAAAGACAAAGATAAAGATACAGATGGCGAGAAAGAAAATAATCATTATGAAGATAAGAGAACAAGAAAGAAGCAAAGAAGGAGAAGGAAAAGGAGAGAAAAGGAGACGGAGAAAGATAGTTATGATTAGAAAGAGACAGAGAAAAATGAGGAGAAGGAGCAGCAGGAAGAGAAAAGGGAGAGAGACTGCACACTATAGATCTCACAGAAACTCCCGCTAACCGGCTTCGGTGCTCCTGCAAAAAGGGAACTACTTCAGAGTGACCTCTTCTTACCTCCAATTAGGTTAAGGCCCCTGGAAAGTAGAGATAGGTTCCCTTTAAAATCAACAGGCGAGAAAATAAAATAAAATAATAATTCTAAAACAAAAACTCCAGCAAATGGAAGTTACGCTCCTTCGCCGCGATTTTTGCTCGCGCCGAACGCACACCACAGGCTTGCGTCTTGGCCCCCACACGAAGCCGGAGCCCTTCCCGCGGAGCCGCAGCTTGGCGACGTCCCCGGACTTCTTCACGATGTCCTCACTGCGGACTCGGGGGACAACTTTGCCGCTGGAAGGACCCCTCTGCAAAAAGTTTTTCAACTTTTCTGTGGGTTCCGTGGAAAACCCAACTTGCTTGATTTCCCCAAAAGTTAAAGTCCAAAGATCCGACCCAATGGCAGTCCAGGAAATATGGGTGTGCCCTTTTTCTATGGTACACTTTTTGGGTGGCTTGAAGGGAATCAAAAGGAAAACCACCATTCTTGAAACGTCCCCTAAGAAAAAACGCGCCCATATGTCAGTCAGACCATGTGGCGGCTGGTTCGGTGGCTCGCTTTGTGCAGGTTTTCAATCCTGGGATGCCCCTAAAAGGATCAATCTTTGGCTTGCCCTTGCAACACATTCCCATCATGGAGAGCAGGGACAGTACATTTGATGTGGATCGTGACCATGGTTCCCTTACTGGGAACCCGCACAATGGTCTAATTCCTCGAACATGTTGATTGACGACTGCCCTACTACCAAGTGACAATGTGCTTTGGTCCGAGCACATATGGCGTCTCTCGATGCAGTCGGCGGAATGAGCTGTGCCATGGACTTTCCCAAATAAATCTAATGCCCTTGAGAAGCAGGTTGCAACATAGATTCCACGAGTCGACTGCACGGGTACCCTCCAAAATGGGTGGGCTCTCCCTGATGCCTCTTGAAACCAATCCAAAAAGGGCCAAAGGGGCAGCCACAGGCATACCAGTTCGTTTCTTGGCGTCCGCTCAAACAAAAAAAGCCAGCGAGTGTGCACACCCCAAGCTTGATGTGTTTTGAAGTCCCCAAATATTGGGAGGTTTGATGTCTTGATGGTTTCATTTGGGACTGGATGGATTCGAGGCCATCCCAAGCCGGGCCATCTCTTTTCTGAGTAGCCTTTGAACGAAACATACTTTCCACAGAGAAACCAAGCATGCAGCTCTCCACGAGCATCCGGAGAGGGAGCACCAAGGGTGACGCATTCTCACGCCAGCAGCATTCCGACACCCACAAGGACCTACACAAGCTTCCCACCTCCACCACGAGGCGCCCCACGCCCTCCAACCTCTCCCCCGGCTGAAGCGGCTCCTTCATGTTGCAGCCGTTTGCGCCGATGATACGCTTCGCCACTCTGAACTTGTCCTGGCATGGCTTGCAGGGTTTTGATGAAGAGCTGGTGGATCATCCTTCCAAGCATGTCACAAAAAATGCTTGTCTGAGCGAATCAAAATCATGGAGCAGCCTGAAAGCAGGGTTGCGAGGAAAGGATCCGTCATGGGTGAAGTCGCAAGCCAGCCAGCCATTTCAACTGCACCTGATGGACCTCCCACCTAGGAAGCAATACCTGGCATGGATTTTAATTGGGCTCGCATTCGCGCCCTCCAGAAGAACGTGCCCGTGGAATTGCCATTTCACACTGTTTGGTGGAATCTCGAGGGCCGGTAGCTACAAGGGCGTGAGTAGTTGAGAACCCTAGGGGTCCTTAGGCTTCCCTAGGGAGCCTTAGGGAATCCCCTGCTCCTGCTCATTCATCATCGTTGGAACGCGCCTGACTTCCCCCACCCTTCCCAAAGAAAACCGGCGGGCGCCACATCGTTATCGATGCCAATGAAGAAGCGGCAGGTGTACCTGTCGCCCCGAAAGCCGAAAGGGGCACATGGCCCGCTGCAAATGGCGATCGCACAAACAGTTCTTCAGGGTGAGACTGAACTCATTGGCTTGCCCGCCCTGGCAAGTTGGGGCCTCATTTCAAACCTCTTTGCGAATCGTGGCAACCGGCGCCCACGCACTCCCACGCCGCAAGCCCAAGAGATCTGACATGTATCTTTATGCGGTCCTGCCGTCCAAGGCCCCCACATAATAGGTATCCCTTTGGTACTGGTGACCTGCCCTTCATGCACCATGTACTTCTGCCTCTGTACCATGCTGATGCATTTTGGGCCACCGAATTCTCTGTGGCCACTTCTTTGGGCACTGGAAAAGATTCAAAGGACAACTCAAACTAATTACGAACTTTTGTTTGGATGGTTCATGACGGTTCCAAAGAGACGACCGAATGCCGCCAACCATGTGGGCATCAACTTTAATTGGTGATCTTGTGGCGGACATCATTCGACACGGGAGTTCGGATGGTCTGGACCACAAGCCAACTAATGTTGACCCAGGATAAATAAACCCGTCCCATTATTAGGGGGGTGCTCCCTCCAAAAGTGATGAATCCCCACTAATTAGAAGGGGACACCCCCCTATTAATCAACCAGGGGTTTATTAATCTCGCTTTAACATTATTGATCCTTCATGTGGCCTTTGGCTTCGCGTTGTTTGGCCTTGGGTCTCCGCAAGCCGTACACCCGCTCGAAACGCTCGAGGGGGCACTTCCCTTCTCTCCGCGGAGACCTGCGCAAAAAAGGATTTGCGCGATTTGCACCGAACCCCCCCCCAAAAAAAGCAAACAAACAACAAAAACAACATAAAATAACTATATGTATATACATATGTATATATATATATATATGTGTATGTTTATCTAGTTCCCGAAAGCATGGCGAAGGGTTCTTCCGCTGGGTTCACTTGAGTTGTTCTCATGAGAGTCATTACAAGGTGTCATTGCAAGGAATCATCATCATGAAAGTCATTGCAAGGAGTCATTGCAAGGAGTCATTGCAAGGAGTCATTGCAAGGAGTCATTGCAAGGAGTCATTGCAAGGAGTCATTGCAAGGAGTCATTGCAAGGAGTCATTGCAAGGAGTCATTGCAAGGAGTCATTGCAAGGAGTCATTGCAAGGAGTCATTGCAAGGAGTCATTGCAAGGAGTCATTGCAAGGAGTCATTGCAAGGAGTCATTGCAAGGAGTCATTGCAAGGAGTCATTGCAAGGAGTCATTGCAAGGAGTCATTGCAAGGAGTCATTGCAAGGAGTCATTGCAAGGAGTCATTGCAAGGAGTCATTGCAAGGAGTCATGGCAAGGAGTCATTGCAAGGAGTCATTGCAAGGAGTCATTGCAAGGAGTCATTGCAAGGAGTCATTGCAAGGAGTCATTGCAAGGAGTCATGGCAAGGATTGCAACTTGCACTTGACTCCTTGCACTTGCAACTTGCACTTGACTCCTTGCACTTGCAACTTGCACTTGACTCCATGCACTTGGCTCCTTGCACTTGGCTCCTTGCACTTGGCTCCTTGCACTTGCAACTTGCACTTAACTCCGTGCACTTGCGACTTGCACTTGGCTCCATGCACTTGGCTCCTTGCAACTTGCAATGGCTCTCATGACTCCTTGCAATGACTCCTTGCAATGACTCCTTGCAATGACTGCTTGCAATGACTCCTTGAAACAAGCAAGGAGTCAAGTGCAAGTTGCAAGTGCAAGGAGTCAAGTGCAATTGACTTGCGAGGAGTTAAAATCTCTTCTTAGGGCGGCGGGGTAGTGCCGACGACACTACACGAAAATCGACCCTCTGCGGGGATCGGCGTGGTCGAGGTGCAAAAACCCATGGTTTTTTGCGATTTCTAAAGTTCCCGCGCGACCCTCTGCGGGGATCGGCGTGGTCGAGGTGCAAAAACCCATGGTTTTTTGCGATTTCTAAAGTTCCCGCGCGACCCTCTGCGGGGATCGGCGTGGTCGAGGTGCAAAAACCCATGGTTTTTTGCGATTTCTAACATGCTCGCGCGACCCTCTGCGGGGATCGGCGTGGTCGAGGTGCAAAAACCCATGGTCTTTTGCGATTTCTGCGGTGCTCGCGCGACCCTCTGCGGGGATCGGCGTGGTCGAGGTGCAAAAACTCGGGGTTTCAAAAACTCGAGGTTTGTTGCGACTTTTGTTGTTCGAACTGGTCCTCGGGAGTTGTCTCGTGGTTCGCGCGCCTGCTCCCGGAACCGGCGGGTCGCGGGTTCGATTCCTCCCTGGTCCGCGGGCGGGCGTCGCAAGATGCAACTTGCATTTTACAGCAACTTGCGCAGAGCAACTTGCGCAGAGCAAGTTGCACAGAGCAACTTGCGCAGACCAACTTGCACCGACCAGTTTGCGCAGAGCGCCTTGCCTAGAGCAACTTGCGCAGAGCAACTTACGCAGAGCAACTTGCACAGAGCAACTTGCACAGAGCAGCTTGCACAGAGCAACTTGCAGGGAGCGCAATTTGCACAGAGCAACTTGCAGGGAGCCACTTGCAGGGACCAACTTGCCGGAGCAACTTGCGCGGAGCAACTTGCGCAGAGCAACTTGCACAGTGCAACTTGCGTAGAGCAACTTGCGCAGACCAACTTGCACCGACCAGTTTGCGCAGAGCACCTTGCCTGGTGCTGTCTCGCGCTTGCTTCACGAAGTGTAGGGAAAAAGAACGCATCCTGCAGCGTTGGGCCGACCTCGCTTGCGATGTTCTGCTTTCGGGCCAACCGTGGTCTAGTTTTATTCCCGAAAGCATCGCGAAGGGTTCTTCCGTGCGGAGCCCTTTGACAAGTTACATAGAGCCAAGTTACATAGAGCCAAGTTACATAGAGCCAAGTTACATAGAGCCAAGTTACATAGAGCCAAGTTACATAGAGCCAAGTTACATAGAGCCAAGTTACATAGAGCCAAGTTACATAGAGCCAAGTTACATAGAGCCAAGTTACATAGAGCCAAGTTACATAGAGCCAAGTTACATAGAGCCAAGTTACATAGAGCCAAGTTACATAGAGCCAAGTTACATAGAGCCAAGGTTAGGTAGAGCCAAGGTTAGGTAGAGCTTAGAGCTTCGGCGTTCGGGGCGGAAGATTGATCGTCGCTCGGGGTTGCGACCCTCTGCGGAGATTCGCGCGGTCGAGGTTCAAAAACTGAGGACTTTTTACGATTTTTAGCATGCGCGTGCGACCCTCTGCGGAGATTCGCGTGGTCGAGGTTCAAAAACTGCGGACTTTTTACAATTTCTGCTGGCCGCGCGCGACCCTCTGCGGAGATTCGCGTGGTCGAGGTTCAAAAACTGGGGACTTTTTACGATTTTTAGCATGCGCGCGCGACCCTCTGCGACCCTCTGCGGAGATTCGCGCGGTCCAGGTTCAAAAGCTGAAGCGCTCTCGCTGTGGCGCCGTGCGAATTTGTCTTAGTCTCGGCGGACCCTCTGCGGAGATTGTGCGTGTCGAAGCGCTCTCGCTGTGGCGCCGTGCAATATTCTTGCTCGCGAAACGGCCTTTGGAAGTTGTCTCGTGGTTTGCGCGCCTGCTTTCGCAATCCCGCGGTCGCGGGTTCGATTCCCCCCTGGTCCGCGGCAGCTCCGGCTTGAAAATCGCAGCTTTTAAGTACAAACGTAGTACGCGGAGCGTGCTCCTGCAGCTCCGGCTGGAAAATCGTAACTTTTAAGTACAGACGTAGTGTGCGGAGCGTGCTCCCGCAGCTCAGGCTGGAAAATCGCAACTTTTAAGTGCAAACGTAGTACGCGGAGCACACCCCCGCAGCTCCGGCTTGAAAATCGCAACTTTTAAGTACAAACGTAGTACGCGGAGCGTGCTCCTGCAGCTCCGGGTGGAAAATCGCAATTTTTAAGTACAGACGTAGTATGCGGAGCGTGCTCCCGCAGCTCAGGCTGGAAAATCGCAACTTTTAAGTACAAACGTAGTACGCGGAGCACACCCCCGCAGCTCCGGCTGGAGAATCGCAACTTTTAAGTACAAACGTAGTACGCGGAGCACACCCCCGCAGCTCCGGCAGCACTTGCGCAGAGCAACTTGCGCAGAGTCACTTGCGCAGAGCAACTTGCGCAGAGCAACTTGCACAGAGCAATTGCACAAAGCACTTGCGCAGAGCAACTTGCACAGACCAACTTGCACAGAGCACATGCGCAAAGCGCTTGCACGGAGCAACTGGCGCAGAGCCCTTGCGCAGAGCAACTTGCTCAGAGCACTTGCGCAGAGCAACTTGCACAGAGCCAGAGCAACTTGCACAGACCAACTTGCGCAGAGCACATGCGCAAAGCGCTTGCGCGGAGCAACTTGCTCAGAGCACTTGCGCAGAGCAACTTGCACAGACCAACTTGCGCAGAGCACATGCGCAAAGCGCTTGCGCGGAGCAACTGGCGCAGAGCACTTGCGCAGAGCAACTTGCGCGCAGCAGCCTGGAACAATGCAGCTTGCGCAGACCACTTTCGTGAGAAATCGCGCGGCGCAGTTCGAGAGGAAAGTAGGATGATGAGATGGAGCTCTCATGTGACCATGCACACTGAGCATCGCCGCGCGCAGATACGCTCGCCGCAGCGATGTAAAAAGGTGTCTCCGCAGCTGGATGAGCACCTGTGGAAAAATGCTTTCGGGCCAATCGTCCTCTAGTTTATGTGGGCTAACAACTCGCGTTATCTTTGTAAGTAAACTTGCTGGTGCTCAGGGAATGAGGGAATGACCCGTAACCATCCCTTTAAAGGCTATGGCGAAAGCAACATTGGGGATGGCGCCTTCCTTTTTGACTGTAAGCTTACATGGGAGCCTCCACCGCCTCGACGCTTCCCTTCCAAACAAAAATGAAATTCCTGGTCCCATCTTCAGTGCACCTTCGAAAAAAGAGTTCAAACCCAGACTGAGGGGACTGGCTTGAGAAAGGGTGGGACGGAAAGCTCGGGTGTAAGTGGTCGGTCAGTCCAGCCCAGGACTGCAGTTGACCCCCTGCCGCACCCACAGATGTGCAACATGCCACCCGTGTACACTTCAAGAACAGCCTGCCCGCTTTTAGGACAGCGGACAATGGATGGGTTGGTGGTGCTCAGCTTCCCTGGTCTTAAGAGGATAGCCCAAACCGAGGTTCAAGCACTTCCTCCCTCTGGCCAACTTTGGGTGAAGCGAGTACCCCCCCTCCGGCAATGGTTTTCCCGCGCCTGCTTCTAGACGGTTCCCGGGGGTAGTATCCAGGATAGGCACCCGGCCTGCAAGAGGCAGGCCAATCCGAGGAGTCAGTGGAAGGATGCCAACCAGTGCAGAGAGGAACGCGGCAGGTTGTGAAAACTAGGGGCCCGGGTTCCAGGTATGAACTCCGATTGGCGACCCTTTGGTGGACATGAATTTACATCGGGCATTTATGTCCATTTCCGAACAAAGGCGTGTGAAAATGAACGAACCCCCCAAGCTTCAACCAGCTTCAAGCATCGCCTCCAGCGAGCAAAAAGGAACAAAAAACCCAGCGCGGGCCCGGCAAGTGCCGGCGCAAGCCACCAGCTCGCAAGCTGGTAACAAGGCGCAAGGACGAAACTGGGGAGGGAGGCCAAGGTGAGGCGCCGACATTCTGGAGACCCAACTGGCTTTGAGGGGTGCCTGCCTTTCAGGTCGACTCCTGAGACGTCCGGTTTTAGTGGCCTTGAGCATCCGCGAGATTGGCAAACTACTAGGGAGAGTTTCCCTTTGGTGACGTTGAGTGATGTTTGAAGAGTGCAAAAAGGTGTCATAGATCTTTGCAAGGATCCACAAAGGCGGACACCTGGCTCGAATTCTGCTTGAGAACATTCCCCCCACGACCCTCGCTTTGGGCCCCTCTGCCAAAGGCTTCAGCCCGGAAAGCCTAACAGAACCTGAAAAACTGCTAGTTCTGGGCCACCCGCTTTTGGCTTCCGGGCTGTGAGATCCCCAAGTTTCCCATCAAGACTTCGGGCCGCTTCTAGGGCAGGCCCATTTAAAACATACACTTGTGCCAAGGTATATAAGCATATAAGTATTTGTCCATATATACAGATATGTGCACATTTGTGTGCAGGTATTGGATAATATGCATCTTCCCTGGTTTGCTGCGCTTTGGGACTTCAACACCCACCATCTCGCGTCAAGGCCGCGGCGGCGGCGGCCAATAGCCATGGGGCGGCGGCGGCCAGTGCGGGGGAGGATACCCATGGCCTCGGCGAGAGAAGGTCGGGGCCTAGTGAGCGGCGGGGTCGCGGGTCGAAGTGGACTGAGCGACGCGGGCCTGGTAGCCCCGTGCTTCAAAACATGGTAGTTGAAGCCCTTGATGTGCTCATGGTTAAACTGCCCAGTGATTCTGGGCTCCTCGGCACAGGGTTTTCTAATTCGTCCCTGGCTTCTTGGATCCCAATGTCCATAGCCAGTAAAACACTCAGGTTTGAGGCAAACAAGTTCGCTTGCGCAGTAATCCTGCCTCTAATGCAACAAAGTCAGTAAGACCTTGCGTTGGTTTCAACCCGCATTTTTCTCTGCATTTTTTGGGGCTCAATTTTAAGGGGGACAATTGACTTCAACCAACTGTTTGCCCAACAGCGCCCTTTTTGGAGATTCCACTGGCTTCCCCTGACCCATGGGAAAGCACCCCCCATCCAATTCAGAAACATGGTTTTGGGAATCCCGCTTTGCGGCTTTCTTTCGGGGAGGTCAACAGGAAACCAAACAGCTTCAGGGCCGGAACTGTGATAAAAAAAAGATGTCTTTCCAGACCTGTGTAGGGGCATTGAACACCTCAGCCAGGTTCTTCAGTGACCCAACCCACCCTGGCTCGGGAAGATGGATGCCCTGAGCTTGCAGGAAAAGCTGGAAAACAGCCCACCACTTCAAACCAACGCCAACCCCCGGCATCCTCCATCTATCAACAAAAATCACCAGGACATACCAAAACCCCACACCCAGGCTCCCGGCTGGGATAGCCCGGTGGCGGCCTCGGCTTAGGACATCTAAGAACGCCCGCAGCGCAGAACTCCCTGCGGTGGCCATGCTTCGTTTCATAGGAACCCATGTTTGAGGGAGGCACCGCGCTAGGACGCTCTGATGCCCAGAAAGAAAGAAAGAAAGAAAGAAAGAAAGAAAGAAAGAAATCTTGTGACACTTGGACACACTTGTGGTCTAACATTTCATCTAGGGATGACCATCACTAGGAACCCCACAAAAAGCGGGGGCCATGGAACACATGATCTCGGCTCATGGCTTGCTTCGGCTAGTTAAGAACAAGCCGAGCATTCAACTGGTCCTACCCGGATGGCTATGTGAATCAAGGCTTCACCCAAACAGCGTCCAAAGCCAGGTACTACGCCAATGGCTGCCTTTGGGGAAATCAATAGCTAGGAGTCCAAGATGAACGCTACCTTTCGGAGTTCTTGAACAAAAATAAAGGAAACCTTGGACACCAAAAGCTCACAAAGCTTGGCAAGTGCCAACACCTGCGATGGCTTCGCGCAGTCCAAGGGGCAACACACACCAGTGGCAGGCACAAACCCCACCACAACCAGTACTGCAACAACAACCACCACCACACAAGCGTTGGTGAGATACGTTGTTTAGCTTTCACAGGAAGCACCCCAAGCACAACACCTCCCCTTGTCATGGGGAACGCTGCCGGAAACCGCACACGCAGAAATCGCATCCGAATCATCCCGGTGTCCGCGCGGGCCGTATCCGTAGCTAGGTGGCGGCGGGTGGCCTGGCGGCTTGTCTTGGCCTCACCACCGAAATCTCTTTTGAAACCAAAATTCCTTCTCAAAGGTGCCCTCAAGCCAGCTGCACAGATGTTGGTTTAGGGTGCGAAATTCCTTCTCAAAGGTGCCCTCGAGCCAAAATTGCGCAGATGTTTGTTTGCTTGGCGTGGATCGTCGTTCATTTGCGCGAAGGATTGCAATCAAAATAAATCCGAGATCTGGGGAGAGCAAAGAGTGGCAAAATGCTAATTGGTGTTCAGTGCTTTCGTCTGTACATCTAATTGGCCAAAACTTTTGGTAGTCTTCGCATAGTTTTGCCACACTCCTTCTCCAATATTCCCGGTTGGTTGTCAGTCTTGCTATCGGCCAGCTTGACCGCATGATTTTTGACATGTGTCTCTGATCAAAGGCTTACCTGGGCCTATGTTGCTCTAAAGTGGCTTTTGGGTAGTGTTACAACTTACGGGACGCCGTTTGGCAAAACGAAGAGGCGCAGGAGACATTGATTTGTTTCAGCAAAGTGCTTAGCATTGGCCTTGTCTAAACATGGGCCACCGCCAAGGTCAAAAGGTCCATTCGCTTGGCAAAGTGGGAATGCCCGCATTCACTCCAAAAGCCTTTACCGAGCAAAAGCCACATGCTTGATTTTAGGCCACATGTAGTGAGCCTGAAGATGCGACATCATTTCAAACCAGATGCCAGCAAAATCCGTCTTCTCGGAAACTCATGTGGTGTGCCTTCCACCATAATCTCAAACTTCAGTGAGCAACCCTCGAAACCCATGGACTCTTGAATGGCAGTAAAGGTCCATATCCAGTATAACCACCCAGCCTGGTCAGCCTGGCCTTTTGAGTTGAGTGCCGCTCAAGTCTTGGCTGCTGTTGACCCCCCTTGCAGAAGGTGACAACTCTTTGTGTATAAAAACCTCCAACGCTTCCCCAACATCAACCCAAGATCCGTTGCCAAATGGCCACAGTCGAGTACGCCTGGCGGCGCTCCGTAGCCATAGGGCGGCGGGTGCTGTGGCGGTGGGTAGCCGCCGTACCTAACCGGACAGGGGACGCCCAAAAACCGCACCAGGAACAGGCTTAGAAGCATTTTGTGTTGCCCTCCATTTTCGCTGGGAGGAACCACCGAAATGCTTGTAGGTCACCAAAATACACTCTAGAAGGTTTGTGTTCCACCAGCTGCATCAAGGGTAAACCCAGCAGGTTCACAAACCCAGGTGTAGCCAAACCACTCCGCGGCCAAATGTTTCGTGTTGTCCTTGTTTCGGAGAAATGGCAGGGTGGAACTCCCTCAGCCACCAGGCCGCCAGTTGAAAGATTCCACGGACAAGCCCTGACGCATGTAACACCCTGAGTCACACAAGACGTTGGCAGCTTGAGTGGCGCATGTTCTAGCCCCGATGTATCTAGGTGCAAGGAAGCAGGGAGGAGCGCGCTTGCGGACGCAAGGGGCGTGAATCTTGACATCAACCACGCCAGGAAAACGGGTGTACTGAAGCGGAACAATTCGGTCCATTTGAGTGACATCCTCACAAGCGATTTAAATGGCCCCACCCCCCAAAGTACTTTTGAGAACCCCTCAAACGAATCACTTTAATGGACCCAGAAGAAGCGATGGCCGGCGATCGCTCCAACGACTGGCGCACCCCGGTGGGGGGTACCCGCCATATCCGTAGCCATAGCCGTAGTCCGGCGGCGGGTGCCTTGCGATCGGCAGGGTGGTGTCTGAAGCACTGGAGGAAAGCCTCTTTGCTGGGCCTTGTTGATTGTCTTCACTACCCAGGGCCAAAGCTTGGAATTTTGTGGGTTACCGTTTTGGAGCACGGCGTCACTTGCGCCCTAAACATGGAATCTAGAAAGGCATCAGCTCTTTGTGGGTTCCCTGGGTGCAGAAACGCTACAATCTATTGACCTTGTGGTCGAGGGCAAAGTGAAAACCAGCAATCAGTTTCCTCCTGGCCTCCTTTTGCGGCAAGGACCTTTCTTGGGACCCAGTTTGGCATTGCAAGCACAACCCACATTCTTAGAGGAGCGCATGTTGTCTGGGAAGGCAGTCTCCAAAGGGCCGCCCTGTTCGGGGTGGGGGGGGGTGGGGGGCAAGCCTCGCCCAGCATTCATAAACCTCTGGTTGATTCATGAGGGCGCGGACTAAAGAAAGGATTCTGCACTGTTCGGGCGACGCACCTCCCTAGTTGTTGTCTGGGTCTATAAATCCGGGGTTTCCATTGCGGGATACTTCTCGCCCACCAATTTTCTCTTTCTTCACTCTGAAAAACACGAAGCTGCCGGCCGGCTCACCTGTTCTTCTTTGAACCCCGCGATGTCCCATGTCTCCGCTGCTCCGCTTCTCACTTCTCCCCTTCCATGGGCTTCAGGTGTCCACAGGTTTCCCCATTCTCCTTGTCCCATTGGTTGCAACCCTAGGGCTCCCTTTTCCCCTTACATCACTCATTAAGTTGGCCCAAGAGTCGTGATTTCATCGAAGCCGCCCTAGGGGAAATATGGGCACGCCGCCCGCCCCCTTTTTCCCCTTGGCCTTTCCCAATAAAAACACACGCCCCACACCGGGCTGCCCACTCCGAAAAAACCGCCGCACCACCCACAGGCTCCCGGGCCCGTAAGGAGATCCCCGGTACGGATCCGAGGATGACGGGGCCTAAGATGAGACTCCAAGCAGCGGCTGAAAAACTCTCCCCCTCCAAGTCCACGTGGATTTTTTGGAAAATTCGACATGAACAAGTCGCCACGGGAAGCTCAGATTTATGGGGAATTGACACCCATCCCCGTGGGATCCCTTTGGGGATTTGATATAAATTTCGCCACGGAAGCTCATGTTTATGGGGCCTGGACAATTGAAACCTCACTTTCGATCCTTCGTGGATTGGTCAAACAACATGTCCAGCTTGTTTGGGTACCACAGGAACTCAGGAAGTGAGAAACGCATGATTCAAGCTTCCAAGGATACAACCCAAACCACCCAGCTTTACAAGGGACATAGATCTTCTGAAATTGCAGGTAAAAATGATTATCCTCTGATGTGTGCAAAAAGTTCTACCTCGGTTTGGTGACTTCAGCGGGCCAGGGGGCTTACGCTTGAAATGGCAGCGCCTCCAATTTCTCACACTCCAGATGAACACGGAACCTTAAAAGCAAACGCTTTTCGAGGACTCACCGGACCCCCATATCGAATTCTCAAAAGGATTCCACGTTCATTTGCCCGGGGGGGGTACTTACAAAGCCAGTAGTGATTGGAGTGAATTGATAAAACCCGTGGCTCCAATCTTCAACGGGGGATGAGTTGCGATTCTGTACTTGCATCCTGCCATGTGCATCGATTCACATAGCCGTCAGCTATACCTCAGAATCAAAGGGGCTTGCATCGCAAACCCTTTCCAGGCTGCCAATGAAAACATGATGACTTGCCATTTGGTGTATGGTCTGGAGGGTGCACCCCCCATTTTCTTGTGGAAAAAGCCCCGCAGGTCATCAATTTAATGAATTAAATGGAACGGAATTAAGTGGATTGAATGCAACGGAATGGATACACAATAAATGGATTGACGTCTTGATATCTCTCTAACACCGGGCACATGTCGAAGGTGTAATGACATGAATTGAATGAAATGAATGAATTGAGAATCAATAGATATGGATGATGGAGCACCCACCCCGCGCAGGTACCCAGGTACGCCTTAAAACTTGGGATTTAGAGGGGAACTCCTGGCTTCGATCGACATGTGGGGCCGAATGGTGAACTCTGGATTCCCGGGGCCCCCAATCCGAATCCAACGCGTCTTTCATTCGCCTCAGAAGGATCTTGAACATTTGCCTCTGAACCAGCCCAACAAATCTGGGAATTCTGGTATGGAGTTCATTGGGGACAACCTTTATTTATGTACATCACTTTCCTGAGGATGTGTGTCCACCAACCATTTTGCAGGTCAAGGCCATTGCCAAACACTGCATTCTCGGGGAGGTGCAGCTGGAACCTTTTCTTGGTCATCTAGGGTGCGCAGAAAAAAGGATTGTCTGACACGTTCCGACCGTGTCCCGTCTGTAGTCTACATAAACCGACCACATCTTTCAGGGAGGAGACCCGACATGACCCCAGCGGCTTCCATTTGAGGCAAGACGCGGCTGGCTGCGCGGCCATGCCTATCTCACGCGCGGCCGCGCCGGAGCTTTCGGCGCCCGCTTCGTGGGCATATTTGTTTGAACCAAACGCTGCGGGGTCGGCTGTAGGCAGAGCTGCTGGCCTCATCGATGACCTTCAAGCACGCCCTCCATGAAGGTCTCAATCATCTAGGATCATCTAGGGGTCACTTCCCCATTCTTTCCAGGGATCCTTCTTTCTAGAAAACCACCAAAAACCCTGGGGAAACGGCTGGTTATGGCTGGCGTTTGAAAAGAACGATGGCTGAAAAGAATGGGGAATCAGCAAGAACGACGGCCCAGGCAACTCTCCATAAGCTGGCACATGTCGGGCACTTTTCTCCGAAAGCTTTCGGGCAGGCTGAAGCGTGCATGACGCCACCTGGAGGGGCTCATCAGTAGGATGGTCACCTTATGCCTCCGTTTCGTGCTTGAGGTGAACCCAATACAAGGGGCTCATACTGTGGATGGACGAAATTCTGCACCACTTTGAAACCAACGGAAACCATGGTTCCTTGGTGTTTTCAGGGGAATCATCGTTCCAGGGTGTCTTAGGTGGTGCAGGATTTCGTCCATCCACAGTAGGTACGCACATTGTTCTGTTCCACGGCCGCATCATCCCAAGATGTTTAATTGCTTGCGCCCTCAGAGCTGCAAGACATGGGCTTCAGAGCAATGGTTGTGATCGTCACTGAGTTTGGTGTTGAAGCACCCCGCAGCCCCATGCTACTTCTTTTGGCATAGTAAATTACATGTACAACAGCTACTGCGTGTTTCTGCCTAGTACAAGGGAATCGTGCTTTGAATGCAGACCACGCATGGCCAAACAAACCTTGCCCAAAGAACTTAGACACGAAGGTCAAACTGGTTGGAACTGCGCCCACAGCGTCAACCAGTCAACAAATCGGTTTGGGCAAGTGTCTCTGGGCGAAAAATAGACTGGGAACTTTCCTCATGGGTGAGGTCAACACCTAAAGACCTGGCCCTTTGCATCTCTGGGGGTGAAGCCATATTTAGAGGATTCCAGACTTATGCGTAACATGACCCAGAGGTCATCGTCTCAATACTCAACTGCTCAATGGACCAAATTGGAATGTCAAGAGCGACATCTGTGGCGTACGCCAAAGGCTATGGCACTTGCATCGGGAAACCGTTGCACGGCTTGGCCCAAACAGGTTCAAATGCTCAAAAGGCGAACAAAAAGGCAAAGCCACAACCCGGTTCATAGAGGATTCCTGCAGGCCCAAAGTGTCCAACCCAGAGATACTACGCCCACTAGCATGGAACCATCCAAAGCGCCTCCTTTTGGAGGAACAAGCTTCTGTTCAAAACCAAAGGATCCAAGCATTGAACATTCATACCCTTTTGGGCTTCAAAAAGAACTGATGACTCCCCTCGGTCCAACTCAGTTGCCCAAAAAACCCAAATTGGTGCCAACAGGGGAAGACCAATCTACTAAACATGTGGCCATGGGAAGCTGTGGGTCAGGTCGATTCGCTTTGGAGAAAGCCAGAGGCTGCGGCCAACTCCGAAACTCCGAGGCTGCGGCCCACTCTGAAGCCCAAGCCGCTCCAGTCCTCCCTCGCGCTCAAAGCCTGGCGGGCAACCCTTGCCTCCCGGAACCCAAGCAAACCCAAGGAGGAATCTGCACATACGGGGAAAAAGTGGAACCAACAAGGAAACTCCATTTTCTTGCACTGCAAAATCTAAGATTATTTCCAGGTGAAAATAACAACACAAACAACATAGTCGTTTGTCTGAAAGGGTTTCCACAGCCTCAAACCACTACCCGGAAGGGTTCAATCCAAACGATATATATATATATACATATTATGAAGATTTATATTTATATATAAACTATATAGCCATTGTCTTATCCGATTTCCCCTGAGGGAAGTGGTTTGGGGAAACGGCACGGAACCAATCAATGGAACCCAAAAGGAGGAGGCGTCCTTTCCCCCAAAGGAGGTGGTTGGGGGTCTCCATGTTACGCCTCCAGGGTGAGCCGGATTCAGTCATCTCAAGGAAAGCTTTGCAATATCCTGCGTCGGTCCATGCTTCAAGGCATCCTTTGGAAACAAACGTTGCCCACAATGCAACTGTCCGTGGTATGTGTCCGCTCGGGTCTGAACGGTTTTTGACGCTCCGTTCCGCGACCTGGCAAGTGGAGACGTGCGCAATAGCCAAGGGGCACTTTAAAAGGGACCTGAAAACGGGAAAGCGGTGCCCTGATCTCCTTTGATTGGTGTTGCAGCCCTTTTTTCAGTGGACGAACCTCCGCAACCCGTGTTACTCTCGCACCGGCGCAATTCGTGCCCTTCATGCCATGGCAAAGGGGTAACCATAGTAAGGAAATAAAACCGCTTCACGGGAAATAAAACCGAGGACCAGCCGGCACCATGAAAAGGCATTAAGGATATAGGCAGATCCAGCAAGAAAATACAAAACAAACATGAGAAATAAAAAGATACGACGGACCGGACGGACTGGACGGATGGAGTGGATGAGCCGCATGAGCTGGCTGGACGGACTCGGACTGGACGGACCGGACTGGGCGGACCGACCGGACGGACCGCGGACTGGACGGACCGCGGACCGGGATTCACCGGAGCGGACTGGACGGAGCGTGCGGACGGGACCGCGGACCGGACGGACCGGACGGACCGCGGACCGACGGACCGGACCGGACGGACCGGACGGACCGGACGGACCGCGGACCGGACGGACCGGACGGACCGGACGGACCGGACCGGACGGACCGGACGGACCGGACGGACCGGACGGACCGGACGGACCGCGGACGGACCGGACGGACCGCACGGACCGGACGGACCGCGGACGGACCGGACGGACCGCACGGGGACCGGACCGGACCGGACCGGACCGGACCGGACCGGACCGGACTGGACGGACCGGACCGGACGGACCGGACGGACCGCGGACGGACCGGACGGACCGCACGGACCGGACGGACCGCACGGACCGGACCGACGGACCGGACGGACCGGACCGGACGGACCGGACGGACCGGACGGACCGGACGGACCGGACGGACCGGACGGACCGCGGACGGACCGGACGGACCGCACGGACCGGACCGCGGACGGACCGCACGGACCGCACGGACCGGACCGACGGACCGGACCGGACCGGACTGGACGGACCGGACGGACCGGACGGACCGGATGGACCGGACGGACTGGACGGACCGCGGACTGGACGGACCGCGGACCGACGGACCGGACCGGACGGACCGGACGGACCGGACGGACCGCGGACCGGACGGACCGGACGGACCGCGGACCGCCGGACCGGACGGACCGGACGGACTGGACGGACCGGACGGACCGGACGGACCGCGGACGGACCGGACGGACCGCACGGACCGGACCGAACCGGACCGGACCGGA